TGTCTATTTTTTTTTTTTTGCAAGGAAATAAATTATAGTTTTACCTTAACGATGGCCATATGCTCCATCCCGTCAAGCTTCGAACGGTAACAGTGCACGTGAAACGTACCCCATTTAGTCGGGAATTGCGAAATCGCTATTCTTTCCACTAGTTTTTCCCTCTTCCGCCGGTACCTAAAAAACAAATGTATTTATTTTTCTGTAGTTTCTGATTGTAAAAAGAAAAATTAAAAATAAAAATACCTTATAAGATCAGTGATGGAAACAATTGGAAGGTTGTGGTCTGAGGCCAACTTTTTTAAATAGGCCACGGAGGCCAGAGAACCATCTTCAAAGTCGACTACAGATGTTACAACAGAGACTGGCCGCAAACCAGCTAACGTTACCAAATCAACAGAAGCCTCAGTGTGGCCCACTCTACGTAAAACACCACCATTTCTGTACTTTAAGGGGAACACATGGCCTGGTCTCTTGAAATCTTTGGGTCTCGATTTTGGGGATGCCAGAGCAAGTACAGTGTTTGCTCTATCTGAAGCCGATACACCGGTTGTTGTCCCAACTTTAGCATCCTAATTGAAAGTTGGTCGAAAAGACTCAAGAGAGTTACATGTGCCGTCTGCTAAAAGTCGAGTGTAAATGTTTTGCAAAGCTTAATATTTCAGAAAAAAAAAAATCAAGCCATATAATTTCAACAACAAGGTCTCACACTTGAGAATATTGTCACTCGAATCAAAGTACAACACGGGCAGGTGCTCTTGTATGAAGTCTTGTCTACAAGAACCTCCTCTTTTAGAAGAAGTTATTTATCATGGTTGAGGTTAAGGAAGTTGTTGAGCACCAGAAGCCGGCATTGTTGGCACATATAACTCTAAATGTTTAATTGGGATTACATAACAAGTGCTTATTTACTTGTAAACAACAAACCTGAAACATTATTAATAAACCAGATATATGGTCTGTTTAAATTCCAATTAATTTGTGGTATCATTTTAAGCCACAAAAATTATTTCTTCTGTCTGAATTCAGTAGACACAACAGGCCAACAGCTCTAGTGATTGCATCAAATTTCACTTTCTCAACAGAGTCTGTTCGAGTAACTCAAGCAAGACGCCTAGCTAGTTAACGAAAATATTCTGTCCTGCTAAAGAAACACCAAATCCCAAATAGTTGGAGATTAAACAGTTTAGTGCATGCATATGATCCATATGAACCTCCTACACTAGCAGGTTTTTTCGGAAAACTCTATTTATTCTGGTGTGGATGGCGGGCAGGTTCTGCGTGAACCAATACGTACAATTCTGCGGAAATATAAACAAACAAAATTGCCAAACTGCAAGAAACTTAAATTTGCTGACCACTGTGATAGTGAATGAAGGAGCCGAAGAATCGTCTTCGTTTTCAGGGGACATCAAAGGCAGCTTAAGCCTCTCAAGATCCTCCCCTTTCATCCCCACCGAGACTATGCCCGACCCATGTCCCACCATGAATCCTATTCTCTTCTCGCTCGTGTGGCATGCCCCCATTACAAGACTCCCTTCTACATTACCAATTTCATCCTCATCCACAACCATCACAAACTAAAAGAAATTACATTTTTAAGTAAGAAAATCACGCCCCATTGATCAACCCAACATTCATACCAATCTGTTTTTCTAATATATATAACTTGTCGAACCTTTTCTTGTCGCAAAGCATTAAGTGCTTGTTCGATCGGAGAGTAGCCTGGAGACGGACGGTCAGGATCGTCCTCAGCATCGCTCACAAAGAAATCGATGGTTTCGTTGGTTATTTCAGTTTCCAGCGTCCCAAAAGGAGGTAAAGGGGAGGACGAAGATTGATCGAACAGCAACGAGCCGTTTACGTTTTGATTGCCGCAGCAAGTTCCGAACTTCCATGCCCGAATTCTACTTGTGCTTCCTAGCTGGTGAGTAAGATTTAAGGATGTGTTTGAGGGTTTGAGGAAGAATGAGTGCTGAAAAACAATGCAATCCATTAGCATGGAGAAAAAGAAGACCAAATGAAATGTAGTTGTATTTGAAGATGGGTTTCGGGGACGTGTTGTATGTGTAGGCAATTAGTTGATGGGAATAAAAGAAGATGAGGAGATGATGGTGGGTTCGTTTCTACAGAAAAAAACAGCGCCTATTGTTCGTTATCCAGTGAAAACAATTTAAAAAAAA